AGCCCTGCGCCGTGGGGAGCCCAGCGTGGCTGTTACCCCTACACAGGACATCACGCACTCAGCCGTATGTGCTAAGTTTAGTTAGCACTTCAGTATTACCTGGGGTGGAGCCTCACTTTGTGCTGTTTCCTTCTGGCTGCTCCTTAAGCCTTGTTTTTATTACTTCTTTTTTTTGTAGGTTTACGGCCAAGGGTCTGGCCTGGACTGTAGGCACCATGTCCAGAAATTAAACTTGCTGCAGGGTGAGGCAGAGGAAGCAATTGGTCGGACACCCCGGTAGTGTGTTTAATCTTTATGAGCTTGTTTCTTTTGATGTGCTACAGTTGATGCATGTCTTCACGCACTGGGTGCCTTTTACCCAATTTGAGCTCCCAGGAGGGTTTTCTGTCCTGTTGTAAAGCTAGTTTTGTCATCACTTCATAGGAACAAGCTGTTTATTGGGTTTAGTGTCCCGGCATGTGTCTTTTGACAGGGAATTTTTTCAGATAAGTTTACTTGATTGATAGTGTGTGTTGGTCAAGCTTTTACCCATTAAAATATATATGCAATAGGGTTTGTGTTTGTTTTTTTAATTGGTCTTTCTTATTAACTGTTTGATGAGCTGACTGTGGAGGTGTCCACCTTATGGACTGACAAACAGTGCAGAGCTGCATCCTCAGACAGAAAATATCCTCCACTCTAAGCTGCTGCTACCTAACTGTTGGCATTCAGAGGTTTCACACTGTGAATCTGTTGAGTAATTGCTGCTGCTATGGATAAAAAGACTTGTTTAGTGCGAACATTAGGGTGTAATGCCTGCTGGGCTGGAAAATCTGAGTAGCGCTTTCCTGTTTATTTCATTTCTGAATTTGTTTACAAATTGCCTAATCTTGAACTGGTCTTGAACTGGTCCAGCTTCCTTTTTAGTCAAGGTTGTTTTCAGAAATCAGTCAAAACTAGTTAGATAACTTAGTTGTGTATATGCAGTGGTTCAGGGTTAAGGTTTGGGAAGAAAACTCATTGTTGACTTTATCAAAAAGGGTTGCTATTTCTGTTCTCAAAACATTGTGAAATTCAAAATATTGTGAAATAACTTCCCTTTTTCCTTGGTTGCTTGGGATATAATGGCCTTAAACTAAAAGAGGGTAGATTTAGATTAGATATAAGAAAAAAATTCTTCCCTATGAGGGTGGTGAGGCACTGGAACAGGTTGCCCAGAGAAGCTGTGGCTGCCCCTGGATCCCTGGAAGTGTTCAAGGCCAGGTTGGATGGGGCTTTGGGCAACCTTGCCTGGTGGACGGTATCCCTGCCCATGGCAGTGGGGTTGGAACTAGATGGGCTTTAAGGTCCCTTCCAACCCAAACCATTCTGTGATTCTGTAATTAGTGGATTTAAGCTGTTGTCCCGAAAGACACACTGTTATATCCCTAATTATGATCAGTTAGAATTTATTGTTTCATGATTAGCAGCTTTAGATCAAACTTGCTACTCTTTGTATAGAAAGAACAAGGGTTACCTTCTAGATTTTATCAAGTATTTGGGCAATATATCTTGCAAATCCTTCATTTGACATCTGCTTTTCTATAGATCCTTTTTTTTTTTTTCTGACATGCTGCCTACCCGGTGTTCATGTCCATGCTTTCTATCCAATCCCTTGTGCTATGACTAGGTGATTTGAATATTATAAATCAACAGGCAGAAGTATGTTCTAGAAACTCTAGCTTAAACATCTGTTTTAGGTGCGTAGAAGAATCTGTAACTGACAGCAAAAATATAGCAGCCCAACGTGAAGACAGTTTGGTCCAGCAGGTAAGATACCTACCTACAAAGCCGAAGTAAGTAACGACCCATACTAATCTAGGTGAATCAAAGTGAAGTCAGTGATCCCTTGATATAGGTTGAGACAGCTGAAATAGTGTATATAATCAGAGAGGCTCCAGCAAAGAGAGTGAGATGTACACAGAAACTCTCTGCTCCACTGGGCTACCGAACCCGAGAACACCATACAGGAACATGTCCTAAACTGACTTGTGATTTGAGGCATTCAGCACATACATAACAAATGCCAGAAATGAGAACCCTGTATTTTGCTGTTTTCAGTAATTCTCCAATGTTGTAGGAGGGAAGGGAAGAAGTCAGTCGCTGGAGTAAATATCTGGACGAGGACAGTGAAGATCAGGAAGATGGGGAGGAGGCAGTTACAGAAAGGCAACAGTTCTGTTCCCAGAGGAAGAATGCTGTGGAAGAACAAAGGTACAGAAAGAACTTTTTTTTTTTTTTTTGTAATTTCTGCCCCCAAGTGGTGACATTTGATTTGGAGGTGTGGGAGGTAGCTCATCTCTGATAGCTGGACAAAGTACAGGTTGCAATCTATGACCTGAGCTGAGCAGGGATTTGGTATTTGGGGGGTAAAACTTCTCTTAGTGCTAGAGTCCTGCATTTTATGAACATTTCTGGCAATTTGTGGAAAAAAGGAAAAAAAAATTACAGTGGAGCTAATCTGCCCTCTTTGTGAATGGTGTTCTTGCCCAGGAAACAGCAGAAGAGCTTCCTCTCTAGTGACGTTCAGGAGTATGCAGAAGAAAATGGAGTTTTCCAGCTTGCCTACCGAGCCAAAAAGGTTAAAACCTCTGAGGTATTTTAGTTGTAGAAGATGCTTCCTACCTGTAAAACAAAACAGTGTTCTCCTGACCTCTTTTGTGTCATTATGATTTTGAAGTTTTATGAGTCTTCCTCTGTTCTAACGTCTGCATGACTGGGGAGGAGAGGAAGAAAATTGTGTCAGGAGTCTTCTCTGAAAGATTTTAGTCAGGCAAAACCAATGGCAGCTTGTGTAAGCTGAGCGGTTGAGCTGGATTCCTCTATCAGCACAGTTTGCAACTTGCTTTGCCTTAGGGAGCAGTAGCACCTGTTTTGTATGCAGTTATTAAAGCTACTGTGATTAGATTACCTGCAGTGCCAGTGAAGTTGGCCCACCCAGCACATCAGCCTCAGCTCTGCCTCAGAGGGCTGGTGAGAATTTGGGTGCATCTGAAAGACCTGAGTGCTCTTTCTTTGCCTGTGCAGCTTGGCTGTGTGTGCTGGATTTATAACCAAGCTCCCTTTCTTCTTACAGCGCAAGAAATGTTTAGTGCCTGATGGAGATGCTGTTTCTGGAGACAGCATGGTTCTGGCTGTCAGTGAGTGTGTTGTGCCTGAGAAGAATACACAAACCCCAGCTGCTTGTACCAAACCTTCAAAGTGGGAAAAATTTCTCTCAAGTTCTGACAGTTACAGCGAAAATGCTGCTAGGGTCACCTTGTCACCACAGGAGGGCAGTGGAAGGTTGGGGCTACACAGCACCACTGCAGCAGATGCTGGTACAGTCAGAACTCCTCTACCTCAAGGTACAGGTTTTGAATTGAAAAACTGTGTTGCTAGCACTGAACAGCTTGTCTGGAAACTGCCCAGCAGCAGTTGCTCAATGGAGGATGTGTTGTTCAAAGAACCTCAAAACCACTTGATGAGGGCAGGATGTGGTGTCTTAGAGACCAGTGCCAGAAGGTGCTCTTTGGAGAGCGTGAGGAGGCCAAACGCCCTTGTGAACTGTAACACTGGGCCAAAGCCCAGCAGTGTTTCTCGTGAACATCTCTTCTGCACAGATGAGGAATTTGATGATGATCTCTGAGAAGTTCAGGCAACTTTGGCATTGCTTTCTTCTTTGTCTCTATAATGTATTATTTGGTATGTTGAGTTCTGAGGCAAGATTTACTCTAAGCCTTACAGAACTCCATAATTAAAGCAGATTACTTGCTCTGTGGCTGTTTGGGGGAAGGGTATGAGGGTGGAAAAGACTGTTGCAGTGGGCAAGTACCAAGGTTACACAGTGTGGTCTAGCAATCTCATCAGTTAGAAGTAAAAGTGGAAGTAGGTCAGCTTGAGGGGGAAGCTATGATTAATTTATCTATCATAAACTACCCCTCTTTTCCCTTGTGCTACCTCTTTGTTTAGATCTCCTATAACAACCCCTTTCTTCCAGAACTGCAGTGCAGGCTTTGAGGCCAGCAAAGCATTTTGTTTCCCTTCAGAAGCATAGCCTTAAGGGTACACCAGGCTATGTGCAGAGGCAGGCCCACGGTCCTGGGCTGCCTCCCTTTCACCAGGAGCTGTCTGATGAAATCACATGCTCTGAGCCCTGTCCTTCCCTTCTTAACTAATACAGTTGTGACACTTAAACACTCACACAGACTCATCACAGGTAGTAGTATTTATTTTTTCTCCATTCTACAAGCACTTGGGAACATGAGACAAACCCATAGCAGGAAGAAAGATGAACCACTGAGTAAGTTTAACTGCATTGTTTGCTTTCAGTTAGAAGCAAAGTGCTTTTTGTTACACAGACTACAACAAATGAGGTGGCTGCTTGGAATACTGGATGGCATCTAGCGCTGCCCCAATGTCACAGTTCTTTGTCTGCAGGAGTCGAGTGAGCCATCCACCCTCATCAGAGAAGCCCATAGAGAGCATCTGGGACAGAGATTCAATGAGGCGAGGGTCTGCTTCTGTTAAGAGAAGAATAGTTTGAAGTTGAAATATTTTATGTAATTGGCAACCCAGCCAGGGCTCTAATACAACAGAGTACATAGGTTGGCACTAATCCTAGTAGATCTAGGATAGCTGGTTAAATGCTAGAAGACATGCTCTCCTTTGGCTCCCAGCAGGGCAGATGTCTGAGATAAGGTACACAACCAGCTAAGGAAACTGTGGAGTCAGACTCTGCCAGCCTTGCTGTAGGGCTCCATGCTGCTGCTCTCAGGTAAGCAGCCTGGCATAGTTACTGGCTCCCACCAGAAAAATGCTGTCTTGAGTCAAAGGATGTACTGGTCTGCACCAAATGGCACTCGATGAGTACATAGCAAGGACATGATTTAAGATACCACTTTTTTTTCCATGTTGCTTGAATGGTCTGTTAGTCTAAAGTCAGAAGTCTTGTTAGGACTTAACTACCAACATTGAAGAAGAAAACCATGTGACTGTCTAACAGGGTGCAAGAGCTGCCTACCTGCTAAGTTCTGGACAAGTTTAGCTGTAACTTATGTGACCTTGGTTTCTACCATCTCTAAAAACAGGTCTGATTTATGTCAGGCAAGCTGGCAGTTCCTGAGTGAAAACTACTCTCAGTTACAAGACCTGCACAAATTCTCATACCTGGTGGGAGATGTGGGTAGAGTGCAGCTTCTCGCAGTCCTGTAGGTCCTGGCTGGGGAGGATCCTGGGATACATCCAGGGAGTTGGGACTCTCTGTCTCTGGCATTTGCAGAGACTGCAGTTCACCTGTGGAAGGATCCACTTCTTTGGAAGATAAGTGAGTCCAGTCCTCATCACCCCCTGATGAGCTGCTAGACTCACTGTGTTCCTGAAATGGAAAGAGAAAAAGTCTGGGTGCTGCAGTGGTTTCCAGGTAGGACATACGCTCCCACTATCTGCCTTTAAAATGAAGGATTACATCCACAAGAACTCCCACCACCTTTGCTGTAAACCTGTAAAGCAAAGGTGCTGTACATCACTTAACCTGCTGACATCTTAATATTCAGTCCCACAATGCATGCTAAATTATTATCTTCCTTTCTAGTAAAGCCTCAGCAAGCATATTAAGTGTCATAGTTCTTGTACCTGGGACTGGAAGCTGCCATCTTCCATTTGTGTGGGCACAGGGTCTATCACCATGTCTTGTATCTGCTCTGCAACAGCATTTACTTCTGTAGCAGAATCTGTGTTATTCCAGTCTGGTTTGGTCTGCACATTCTGGTTCAGAGTACTGCTGCTCGACTCAGAATTGTTGTTCTCTTGATTGGGAGGAGGAGTCACTTTGCTTCTCTGTCCTCCATGTTCCACATCGATATCAACTTCAATACCTAGAAATACATTGGAGATGGAGAAAGTCTTACACAGATTTTTCCAAAGCACAGTCCTAAACGAGTATGCATCAGTCCTGGTCTAAATGCTGTAAGGTTTCTGTAATCCTGTAGTCTGCCATTTAACATGTAGGAATTGAAGCGCAAAGCATTCTTTAAACAAAGAGTGGTTAAGCACCAAACAAACAGTCGTCTTCCTCTGGACAGACAAGCAATACATTTAGAGGATCAAGGCAGGAGTTATCCATGTCCGCATAAGCCAGGCAAAATCCTGAGTCACCACTGACTTAAGTGTTACAGTGGTGACGTTAAAGAAATATTTCCTCATCTCCTTCCAAAGGAGGGCTCTGAAAAGGTACTGAGTGGCTGTTCTAAGCCTAGGCATTATTAGTACCAGAAATAGGCATTATTAGTACCAGGAATAAATTAAGCCTTCAAGGCTTAGTAGCATGAGGTAGTTCCAGTACCAGCCACAAAAGCTCCTGTTAAAAGGACCTTTAAGCCAGTCTCAGGGATTGGGATAACAAACTCGTAAGTCACTTACCCAGGGGGCTCAGAAAAGCTGCAACACTCTCCCCAACATTCTTTAAGAAGGTGACATTGGGGTCCTGAGGCTGGCTGTTAGTAGAAGCTTCTAGAAAAACAATTTCTGTTAGCACACACAGCTCAGTGGGAAAGAGCACCTACAGAGCGTATGTATCCCCATGAGATCTCAGTGCTTGTTTCTTGTCACTCACACTGCACAACAAAGGCAGCATAGAGACAAAAAACTCAGAGCTAGCTCTGGAACTGAAAACCAGTGGCATTAGCATTGTTAAGGCTCATTAGCCATGCTGAAAGGCAGATCTGGAGTAGTGACATACTTAACTCAGCTTTGTTTGGTTCCAGATGCTCTCCCTGCATCCTCATCTATTACATGGGCCCAAGCATGCCTTCAAATAATCCCACTCTGCACTGAAAGGTGCTAGTTATTTTAAGTAGTTCCTATGTCTATTTTTCCACCCAGATTCCACCCTATGCTGCAGAACCTCAGCTCCACTCTGGCTCCACCACCACCTTGTTTACCAGAGCATCTCCTCTTACCTTCTGCAGTGGGTGGACTGGAGGCTGCAGCACTAGCTTGCGCTTGTTCGGAGTTCTGGCACGGAGCTGCAGGGCCGGGATATCCCCAGCAGTGCATCCATGGGAAGGGTGGAACACCATGCCGCATTTTACGGAGCCAGCGTCCTCGGGGAAGCCACTGTGAAGGGTAATGTGAGTTCACGTGAGACTGTTCACACAGTTTTTGAGTAACAGAAACTTGTGACTTAAATTTGAGGAATATCCCGTTCATTAGTTCCTTTCCGTAGGTTTTGCTCACCTCGAATGGATTTAGCAGTGGACTTTGAAACATCACCATGTTGTGCTCCTTGTGGATGCCTTTACCCTCACAGGTGCTGCACAGGTCATAGTCTGGACAGACAGTGCACTTGAACCTGGCACCCACTACCGGTCCTTCACAGCCATCACAGATCACATTGGGGTGCACCATGTTGCGGGGAGGCTCCTGGCTGCACTGCGAGCGATGTTCCCGCCTGCACTCCTTTTTCTCTATTAAGGAAAGGAAACTTTGCATCAAGAACGAGGTTACTATTTAAAGGCTGGAAATGAGGCAGAGGAGAAGGAAGCACAAACAGCCCTTGTCAGAGCAGTATTGACTTACTAGGTCAGTTTATTTTTACACTGGCTGCCAAACACAAGCAGGGGGCACGTAAGAGACCTTAAACCAAGTGCAAAGGGGCTTCGCAAAGATACCTGCTCCTCAAACCAAGCATGCCTTATCCTGAATGGCCTCTTGGCATGTTTATTTTAGATTAGCACTGCGCTACCCTGTTTGGCTTCTCGTCCTACCTCCCTAAGCACTGCAAGAACAAACTGTTTCTGGAGAGGGAGTTAGGAAGAAATGCCAGGAGGCATAGCAGATGAGAGCAGGGACAACAGTGCTGGCTTGTGTGACTCATTAGATGGACTGCAGATAAAGCTTTGCAGGTATCTACATGAACAGAAGGGACTAGGAAGAAATCATGGCACTGAAGAATAAGCTGGAGTTAAGGCTTCCTAACACATTATTGTGAATATTAAAGATACTGGTGCCAGACTGGTGTTTCCAGGGAGCCAGCATGTCAACAGTGGCTCACACTGGGCCAGCTGAGATGTCAGGGCTAAGAGGAAACTTGTGATCCCTTTACCCCACCTCAGCAGGGAGGATTCATCTCCTGGTGTACCACCCTGCCCTTTATTTAACCTCCCCCCCCAAAGGCTGCAGGTTATACCAGGCCCTTGAAGACAAGGGGAAAGGCCAGGGCTGGCTTCTCCCATTTTCAGAGGCCTGCCAGCGAGCACACAGTGCTAAGCCGGTGACCTGCTACCGCCTTTTGGCATGGCATGGCGTTACCTTTGATGTAAACACGAAAGACACCATCCTGCACGTAGGGCATTGCCATCTCCAGCTCCTCATCGGTGGAAAAAGCAATCAGGTCCCCATCTTCATCTAGGAAGGGTAAAGCACAGGATTAGGTGCCCGGTCAGGTGTCACAGGACGCGGCCCATGGCCGGGACCCTGAGGGGCAGCAGGGACCCCCCTC